GCACGCACGCACGCACGCACGCACGCACGCACGCACACACACACACACAGTTTTTTGTATACTTACAATAGAAATATATTAAAATTGCAAAGTTTCACCGTAGGGTGTATTTTCAACATGTATCGATATAGCACTTATAATCGTGTGATACATTCGCTAACGTAAATTCCGAATGATTCAGACTATGTTTATACTGTTACACGTTCATATATAAGCATGTGTATTTTTAAAATATCGTTCAAAACTTTCAACTTTTCTATTTCTCTCATAAAAAAGCTCAATATTTACATAATTACTTTTTAAACAAAGTATAAAAATATAACCAAATATATTTATGTCATATATTTAAACAAAAAGAAATAAAATTTAATGAAAAGTTTTCTGTTGTAATTTAATGTTTGCAACATTTCTCTTAAATAATTATTGATCATGTACAAGGAGAAATTATATGTATAATCACGCATTAATTTCATTTTCTAAGGGAAAAGTAGAAAGCTTTGAGCGATGCTGCCTGTATACTCCGCTTTGAAATTTGAATGACTTTCATTCGCGGATCCAGTCCGAGAATCGTAGCTGCGATGAGCTAAAATAAGTAAAATGAGTACTAGATTCAACTATAGAAGAATCAGTAGCCAATATAAAAAAGAAGAAAAAATTGATAATATTTTACAGAATAGATTAAGAAATAATTGATATAATATCTAATTTATTGATTATTATATCTAATTTAATTCAACAATTAAATACGTGAAAAATATATTAAATGCCTTAAAATGTCTTTAATTTAGAAAATTCAATGAACTAAGAATTGAAATTTGAATTTTTAAGAAACTCTAAACTCGCAATATCGATTAATCCATATTATTAAAAAAAAAATTAGTTATCTGGATTATACATAAAAAATTAAATCTAAAGAATCTAGTACCGAAGTATAAGTGATCGAAGATTGGAGAATCCGTAGATTCAAGGATTTTAGGCTATGAGAACATGTGTTTCACAAATCTACCAAAAGAATTTACGTCGGCGAGAAACAAACAATTTCATTCTTCGCTCTCATTGTTATCGCATCGCTTTGTTGTTGACTTTGACGTCGATCTTCGCGCGGTTTATGTTCGTACGCGATGTTCGATGAATTAAAGGCAGCCACGCGATACATTTATTAATATTTAATACTGAGCATTTTATGGCGATTTATATGGATTAATACAAGTATTCGCCATATGTGTTTTCGATCCGTTGTTCGACTATTATCGATCATTTCCGACGTCAACGATCGATCTCATATCTTCGCAAGATTTTTCACCTCGATTGCAGATATATTAAAAATATTAATTAATCCTTTATTGCAAAACACTTGTATATTATTTATGAGGACAGCATGACAAATTATTTATATTCGCTATACAGCTAATTATTTTAAAATAATTTGTAATTATAATTTTTTAAATTTTAAATAAATTCGTCGATCTATAAATTATTCTAAAATATTGATCTAGTACAAATTAAAAATCATTTTTAATCAAAAGATTAGTAAAACTTATGTAAAAACTGCACTCAAAGCCTGCAATAAAGGATTAACCATTTCCGCCTCGCAAACAAAAATAGAGAATTATCTCATCGAATTTAACCGAGACTTGTGTCGAGAAGAATTGTTACGCACATTGTATATATTTATACTCTCTTTAGTTATTCTCTTTCCTTTTCTCTTTCTCTGTTTATCGCTCACATTTCCCTTTACTTTTCTCTTCTTTTACGGCAGTGTTGTGGACGGTTACGGAATCGACGTCCGTAATCCCAAAAATGTTTCCTACAAGTATACATGCTAATTTTAATAAATACGTATTTCAACAACCGTCTTTATATAGAACTAGATTTTTAATAAAATTGTATATTATATCATGTTTCATAATTATCTTGCACTTCTTTTTTTCCCCTAGTTTGTTTTCCTTTCTTCTTTTTTTTCTCATTAAGAATTAACTCATTCGAAAGAAATGGTAATCTATCCTCGTCGATCTATTCTCTGTCTTTCAAATTCGAATTAAATTCTTCCTTGTGATGTAGATGTAATTCGCATGCGTCGTTCAATTTCCGCTTTTTCGTGGATTTTCTCATCTTTGATCCGAGGATTTCATGAATTTCTCGAAACAGCTGTCGATCTTTGGATTGTTTATAAGATCGATATGCAAAGTCATTATAACGATTAAAGATTTGGCACAATATTTCGTAAAAACTTGACAACATTTATCCATATTTCCTCAATTCGAAGATTGATATCTATAAAAGGATATAAATGTAAAAACAAAAGTGAAATTTTTAATTATAATCTATATACATGTATATACTTCTCTCTATTTATCTTTTTAATAAATATTAAATTAAAAAGTTCTTTTCTTTTTGTTATCTTGATAGTCAAGATTGCTCTCTATATATGGTGTCCTATGAGACATATATTTATATTCCTCCAAGAGTAATTCTAGTAGTAATGCAACCCTAAAGAATGGGAAATGTGTCAAGATTGAAAAAAAAAATTTATAACGAATCTTATACTTTAAAATTTTAGCACAAATAAGTAGAGAATACTAATCAGATCTTGGTGAGATTAATAATAATTCTAAAAACGTAAATTTTAAATATATTCCAGTTCGATAAACAGATTACTGATTGGACTTGAAACGTAAACATAAGCTGAAGTTAGAATAATATCAATTTAAATTGATTATCAATTTATCAATCTTGCTAATAAGTATCTCAAAACATTGCAAAAAATTGATTACAAATAATATTACTCGAAATTTAGATTTTAGGAATTAAGGAATTCAGGATTTATAATATTCAAAGTCTAAAGTATCTGAAATCATAAATATTTAGATTTAAAGTCTGTTTGATTTAAGATACTTAAATCTTAGGATTTAAAGAATCTAGAATTATAATTTAGAGCATAAGAGATATTTTACGATATTTAGAATTCTAAGGTACTATAATTTAAAAAATCAAAGATCCAAGATTATGAATAAATTACAATCCAAGAAGATTAAAATATAAAATAATTAAAAAGTGCGGTAATCTACGAAGGAGGATGTTAAGTTAGAGCTGTTTTTCAGCGAAAGTGAAAAAGTTTCAAGTACATATTATGTATCATATTGAAGGACCACTTAAGCAGAGTCGAGTAGTGTATCGCTTATCTTGGGGAAACATCGAGAACATAAGAGAAGTCGTGATAAAAAGTCAATAAAGCTAATGTTATCACGTTTATTAATAAAAAAAATTGTTAATTGAAGCGTTAAAAATATCTTGGAAATTAAGCAATACTGTTATTAAACACGTATAATTAAGAGGAGAATTTTCAAGTATCGACGAACGATAAAAAGTTTGATACAAAATAATTGTTTGGTTTCAAATTCTAGTTTTGAAAAACAAACATGCTTATCGTGTTTAAATAATAACAATATAGTTTTTGTTGCTTAATATATATATAATATATATATATATTTGCTGAGTATATTGATATTTTATTTAATAATTTTTAATTTTATTGTCTTTGATGCGATTTCGGTATTTTCACGTTTTCGATGTTTCCCGAAGATAAGCGATATATCACTCGACTCTATTTGAATAGTTCTTTAATATGACATAATTTGTACATCTCGGAACTGCTTTATTTAGCTGAGTAATAGCTCTAACTCAATATCCTTCTTTCTTCCGAGAATTCTAGAGTCAAACATTCTTTTTTTTAAATAAACTTACATCGAAAATAAAGGTATTCTAGATATATCTAGAATTGGAAAATATTTAGAGACTCTCTCTTTTAAACTTGTAAGATTAATATTATAAATTCTAAATATACACAGGATCTTACAGAGAATCTTAAGATTTTATAGGATTGTATAATATTGGGAATCTCCTAAAAAAATCCTAAAGAATCCTAAGGGAGGAATTCCGAAATCTTAAAAAATTCTAAGAGTATCCTGAGAAGTTTTAGAAGACTTAATCTAAAAAAGCCCAAGTTCATCAAACCTTAAGCAATTAATTCTGTGGAACTTTCATATATTTGGCACAAAATTGCATCTTTTAACATTAGAAAATTTTTCTAGAAAATATTTAAAAAAACCCAAGCTCACTGGGAATTCTTAAAGGATCACACAGATCCTAAGAAAATTTTAGGAAACGTAGATTCTTAAAAAAATCATTAAAAAATCAGATTGAATCGATTTTCAAAAAATCCTCGGAATCAATGGAGATACTACGTGTTATCCCATATAGCATACTTTATCCTAGAGATTTTCCTGGCTGAAGAACGTTCTCAGGACGTTGGTATGATTTCAAGAACATCCTTCAGAACGTTCCTTGGAGATTTGTGCTATATGGGATCTCCATCCTTATTTTCGTTTACAATGTGCCTAATTTAATAATAACCTGAAATAGGTGTATATACTATCTATCTATCTAATAAAACAGCATCATATTAAAGTCTATCTTCCTCTTCCTCCTCGTTATCCTCGTTATTCTCTTCGGACTCCTCTTTGTAACCAGGATGCTCCGAGATCGCGTAATAATTCCCATTGTAGATCACACCGAGCTCCCGCAGAACATCGCCCCGTATAAGTGCCTTGATCGTCCAATTGTAGCACTCCTCGCTCTCGCTTTCGCGATCCAGTCGCTCGACGTCGAGGATTTTAGAGTTGAGTCGCTCCAGTATAATGCCGATGTCCTTGATACTAAGGTGGTGCTTCTGATCGACAGTCAGCTGATCGATTAGTAGCAGAAATTTTTCCGAGGTCACAAATTCGTCCTCCATTATTGTATTTTCCGTTTCGGACTCGGAACTGTCATGTTCTTGATGATGATGATTATGATGTAAGTGAAAGTGGGCAACGGTACCGGCCAGACGTGAGCTTGATTCCTCGTCGGCGGTATCGCGAAAGCGAACATGACCTTTGCTCAGGCCAGGTCGCTTGGTGCCGTCCGAAAGGGAGGATGGCGGCTGTGGCGACGGTGTTTGTGTTTGTGTTTGCTGTTGTTGCTGCTGATGCGGATGATGCGGGTGTTGATATTGCACGTTCTGCGCGTCCTGGATCGGTGACGTTGCCACTGATTTGTGTACAGCGATTTTGCGGCCCTCCTCGTGCAGAGCACAGCAGTGGAAGTCGCACTCGCCGATGGCACCGCCGTCGGCGCCATTCACGGGACTGCCATTCCGCGCGACCGGCTGATGAATATGGTTGGAACATTCAGGCGTGTGGATGTGGATGGTTGTACTGTCGAATGAATTCGTGCCTTGTTTCACTAGACGGCCCGGCATGTGCGACTGCATCGGCTGCTGCTATTAGAATGAAGACGAATTGATAGCATGATATAAAGTGTTATTCGCCTAATTTACAATACGTATCACATTTGAAAAATAACGCGCGCGTGCACATACACACGGTGGAAATCAGAAATATACAATAATAGTAAACTAGTTCATTTTCTTAAAAACTTTAATAAATTTACATAAAAAACTAATATCATATTGATCTTTTTAATCGCAGATGATTTGCAATTGATTGAATTTAAAAAAAAAACTGTAATGATATATGAGACTGCAATTTATAACTATATAGATAAAGCGTTTAGATTCAACTATTGTTACGATTGAAAAGTTCAGTGCAACGTTTGAACTGATCTATTTTCTTGAAAGCACGAACGAATTAGTTCCTTTGAGATTTTAAGAAAATGGATTACAGATATTACTATCGTGCCAATCAATCGTAGATCGGTTCGCGATAAGCTTAGTAATAATTTGCGTGATTAAACTGTCAAGCTAACACTATTGAAGTAATAAAATTGCAGATTGAATATACCATATCGTCATGATTTATCACAGTGATTCGCGGACTGGTGTACCGCGTCGGGGCGATCTCGCCGGGTAAGTGCGTTGCCTTGCCATCATAGCTGAGCTTGTCCAAGCTGGTTTGGATCACCAGGGACGGCCGCTGGGCGCCACTCAGGTCAGCTTTCTTAGTCGGCGAGTACTTGGAAGTTTGGGCGTCTTGGCCTGCCTTTGATTGTTGCTGCTGCACCTGCGACGACGACGACGAGCGCTGGTCCCAGTGCAATACGACTGTAACTCGGCCTTTATTGTCCATGATTTTCCACGATGGCGTCTCATCGTGCAACTCCAGCGCGTGGATCGTCTCGCAGACTATTTTCGGGATTGCCGAAATTGCTGAGAAAGAGAAAGAGAGAACGAGAGTTATCAATTATTGATGGACGCGACCTCGGGGGATACGGGCCGGGTGGTGTTCGGTGCTGCAAGGCGTGACAATCAGTGCCGGTGATCCATCGCAAGAGTGCGAGATCCACAGATCTTATAAGGTAGTTAAAAAACTTACAGATTTAAAAGTCTAAAGAGATTTCGGGTAATAAAGATTGTTTTAAAAATCCAAAACATCTAAAGAGAGAGCTTAAGAATAGAAGAAAACCTACTTGGTTGATCGTTTAAAGGCTTGTGTGTGTGTAAGGATTCAGTTTGATCCACATGTAATTCAGTTTGATCAGTTTCAATTTTATCAGTTGCCTCGAGATTAGTTTCCTCAACCAAGTTGTCGATTTCCATCAACCAAAGTTGATCGTGGTAATATCCCCTTTACATAGCAGCGCGTATGACTCTAAAGAAGCTATATATTCGAGGGTTCAAAAATCTAGAAAATCGAAACATTTGAGAGCAGAAGAAAAGCTACTTGGTTGATTTAAAAAGGTCTCTGAAAAAATTTAATTTTTATTTGTTAAATGATTCACAATTAATCAAATTTATAATGTGTCTAAATGATACACTCTAATTGTCCCAGTCTTGAAAATTCACTTCTCTTTTAAATTCTTTACACATATTTTCGCGTTTTCTTTAGATGTCTTTGAATTTTCTATCATCCGTGTGTTGTTGCTTCAACCTTAACTTCTTCAACCAAGTTGCCGATTTCTCCTAAGATCGATCTGTGTAATGTCCTTTTCACCTACCAGCGCGTATGATGTCGACGCCAGTAGGACACCAGCGTTCACCATGCCGCAACAAGAGCAGAATCGTGTTGTTTCCTAGTGTCTTGAAGTACTCGCTGTCCTCGACTTGCGTGCCGTCCGACTCCAAAACTAGTGAGACATTCTCGTTTTGTGGCACACCCAGCTTTTCCTTACCTGAAAGCAAGGGTTGGCCGAGGGTTGGGGTGTCAGATAGCGTTCAGGCGTCGTGATAACGCTTTAACGTCAATGTGTGGCCGCGTGTGCGTACGCGTGTGTTATATATTCCGTGTGAGCGAGCGTGTATATGCGTGTGCCACGTGTCGCATATACTGTTTAATCGTGTGAATGGAACAGTTGCGAATAATGGTGGTGCGTCCTCGAACGAACAAACGAATGAACGAACGGCGCTTTGTTTCTGAGAAATGTTGCGAGAAATGTGTGTTGCGAGAGCGACACTTTCAAAGGAACTTTACAGATAATACAATTCCGTGCTGTGATACGCTGCGTGGAAATATTTCCGACCGGAAATATTTCTTCGTCGGTCAGCCGGACAGGTAGAAAGAGAGTGCTCCGGAAGGACAATGCGTATGACGCGTGCAGGAGTTATCCCGAGTGTAACACGCATCGATTTTTTGCAATGAGTCTAACATCTTCCAACATCTTAAAAAATATCTTCTACAAAAAAAAAAAACGATTCTTGTAATTATACAATAATTTGATTCAATAATAACTTGAATATCATAAAAAAATAGACATATATAATGCGCTACTGTTAATATGCAACAGGAAAAAACAAACAGATGACAAATTATTATTTCAAAAATGTTTATTCTTTTAAATCAGATATTTTGGAAGCGTAGCTTTTAAATAAGTTACAGATTGTTTTAACGATAATACAGGAAGCCAGTTTTATAATGTGTAACAATAAGTTTGTGGCATAAATGCAAATTGACTTTTAATTGCCTTTGCTTTTAATTTATGGATAATTGCTTAGGTTTAGATTTTTCTTACCTCGAACAATCAACTCTTCGAAATTGCTAACGACCAGTCCTTTTCTTACGTTACGCCAGCTGTCCCATATCTTGAAAGGTCTCTTGGTCCGTAACTCCTGCATAAAAATTATACAATTAACATTAATATCAGTGTGCGTGTGTGCGTTGTGTATGTATGTGTTACAGAGATTAAACTATAATATATCGTTAACATATGAGCAATTAATATGAGTGAATTATTATTTTCGAACCAAAAATGGAATGATAATTTAGCAAAATATTATACATATACAATATGTTGAAAATCAAGTATCAAAAGAGAAAGACAGAAATATTTACATGATCGAAAGGGCATGACATCTGACATCATTAATTTTAGTGCAGTGAAAAAAATGTCGGTGTACTGCACTTTAATGCACGGTAAAGTTAAAAATGGTTGACATTTGCGATTTATTATTGACCTTAAATGTTCTCCGGAAGCTCGTGCAGCTTGCAGGCATTTAAAGCGCTTTGTAAAAATAAAGATATTGAACATTAGAAAAAAGGCAAAATAGCAAATTTCTGTTGCCATTAGTTGAATTATGCAATTTATATAATAGTTTTAGTTTTATATTACAGTTTTTCGTGATTTAAGACAATATAACGTAATATACACATATTATGCGTGTTTAAAATTTGTGAAGTTTATAAATAAGTACGTGTATAAACGAAAAGTTAAAATTTTCTTACGTTTTGTAGAATGTGTGTGTGTGTGTGTGTGTATGCGTAAGAAAAAAATATAGACATTTTGCAAGTAAGAAATGATTCAAATACAAATTAAAAATAATTTGCGACAAGAAAAGCGTGTGAAAACCTGAAGAGAGCTGACCCCGGGTAACGCTTGTCGCCCAGATGTTAAATGGGGTAAATAATTTTCCAGTATGCTCCGTACACATAGTCACCATATAGAACGGCTAATAAATAAAATCTCGTATATAAAACTATTAAATATTTTACTATTTCACAAAATTTTTAATATAACGCCGCGACAGAATTGCATCTTACATTTATATATTAATTTATATATTAATTTTGTACAATTGTGACACAAATTCAAGTTAAAATTAAATGAAAAATGTATAATATAACATGCAGAACATGCAAGATTAGAAAAATAATTCTAAGTTCACTAACACATACGACTATATAACTAACAATCGAAACAACAAATTAATATAAAAGCAATTACAAAATGAAAATCAACGTTTAGATTAATGCAATTAATGCACAATTTGAGAGTTTAACGATTCTAATAAATCTGGACTTAAAGAGATTCAATCCTATACATCTAATTGTAAGAATCTAAAGATATATCCCTTCTTTTAGATCTCGAAATTTAGAAATTTGAATATTTAAATATATACATATATATAATATTTACAGGGAATATATGAAGGTAATGTTACTTGTAACAAAGTTACAGTTACAAGTTATTTTTTGGGTAACTTTATTGGTAGTTACTTTTGTGATTACTTTTGGCATACGATATTGAACATTGGTGATAGAAATTATTTTACACTTCCACGTAATATATCGGATAGATATCTCTCATTGTCAATTTGCCGTATATTTTACAGTTTCAGAATTATGAAATTATGTTTAAAAAAAGAAACTAAAAAATAAAGCTAGTGTCATAATTGTATATTGCTTTTATTAACATTTAAATAAAAATATTACAAAAATACATCTTTCAGACTGATAAAAAACGCAATGGAAAAGAAACGAAGAGTTACTTTTTCAATTAACGGTAATTGTAACTTATTATTTTTAAAAAGTAACTTTCCATTCCTGTATATTTACAATTTCTGCAAGCATTCAAAATTTGCAACGTAAATTCCTATACATAGATTTACATATACATCAAGTAGCGAAAACTAATTTATACCAAACAATGAAGCGATCACATCTAATGATATTTTCATTATATTAAAAACGTAAACGCAATAATGCAAGGCGGGACACTTACAACAGCGTATCTTGCCACGAATTTTCCACTCGAAGATGTTTATCGGAAAGTGAATTATTTCGTTAATTTACTTTAATTTACTCGGTTTATTTTAGAGGTGCATTTATTCGCAAAAATTTATACGCGAATATTCGCCTCTGTCTCGTTTCTTGCACTCTATCGTACTTCGCACTGTGGATAGGTACATCTGCACTCTTCGATCGGTGAGATTGCATCCCGACGTCGCTAGCGATCTCGAAATAATGCGAGCCGAAGGGGTGCATTATGTTTGAGATTGTCCTTAGTCCTCAACGGGGTGGCGCTAAGGGTACGAGACGCGTGCGCAGTTTATGATTGAAAGCACTGACCTGGTTTAACCGGTCTTAACTTGTAATATCGCTTATTTATTCTGTGCACAATCGGATTTATCGGTTATTCATTATCCGTACTGATATATCATTATTATATTTATTAAACATGTATAATTATTAAATACATGCGCCACAGCAAGGTGATCATACATGAGTGCTCGATGTAAAAAATTGTATTTACTTATTTTTATTTTGTACACACGAGTTTGCATTTTTATTTCTTGTTATCTTTCAAATTTTATTGTTCCTTAAGACTATAAATAAATATTTCAAAATTAAAAAATATCAGAATTTAAAGTACAACGTTTTAAACACTTTTATGTTTTTCCTTACCCAACAATCCGATATTTATCGAAATATTCAAAGATCTAATTAAATAGATCTAATTAATTTTAAGAATTGAAAAAATTAAGAACAATATACGAAAATACGTGAACAATTATAATAAGATAAGTGACACTACACAAGTTTATATAATAATAATCCAAACAAAGTAATGTAATAATTTACGCGAATGTTGCATAAAGAAATTGAACAAGAATCAAAGAAATTCAGAATTTAAGGATCAAAGCGTGTGTTCAAAATTCGAGAATTCAGAAATTTAAAAGTCTAAAAGCCTAAAATTGAATGTTTATCTTAACTATATACGAATATCAACCTCTCCCATGTAATAACCTCCCGTTTCCGCGAACTCGCTGTGGAAGGAACTTAGTAAACATCGCAACGTGCTAACGAGCAAATAGGGAACCGCCTGCAGCTGCAACGCGAATGTACCCAGGTGCATCCCTTAACGAAGTATCGTCTAGAACCGCCGCCGTCGACTACTACGCGAATTTTTGATTTACTTAAATCTGTCACAGTCGAAGGATTCTAAAGCCGTGGAATTTGGAATACCAAACGGAATACCCAACGAGCCAAGAATAATATGCTAAACAAATATTTAACGAAACATTTCTTTTGTAACGAAGCGACATTATTTCAATGCATTTCTAGAGAAACGTTCTTAAATATTCGCCTTAATTAAGATATTTATTTGTGTTAAATATATTTTTTTGAGAAACATAATAATAATCCGATTCTGTACGCAGAAGCTATGCGTTTTTAATGAGTTATTTCTGTGTTCAGATCCATTATTATTAGATATATTGTTAGATCGCCAATGTTTTGCACGTGAACATTGCAATTTATTTCATCAGGGCGAGAAGCAACCTGATACTAAACCTACTTCAATTCTGCATGTATTTATTGTAATTAGAAACCTTTTTCTGAAATTATTTATATTAAAAATTATTTATATAACTTGTCCAAACCCCTAAGGATTTCTTCATAAGAATTATAAAAACTCAAATGTTCTTTAACAAAATATTTGAAATTCAATAAAAGTTATTTGATAAAAAGTTTATAATTATATACAATTCATTTAATTATTTATGACATTCGAATTTATTTTTCTCATAAATTGTAAGTAGAGCTAAACTGCAAATCGCAGGAAGAAATCTTTTTTTAGAATATTTCGGGAAATCTGCCATAAAATTGTAAATACGATAAGAAACCTCTGCAATGAAACAAAAAGTATGGAATTTTATGAAACGTGAAAAACGATGATAAGGATTTTGCATGGAAGAGTCCGCGAACGTGCAGAACGACGAGAAGAATTTTGCGAGCATGCAGAACATACAATGAGGTACAGAGCGTTCTGCGAGCGAGAAAAGCATTCCAGCAACGAAAAAGTAACATTCTCGCGACTCTGCTCTGTGTATAATTTTCAATATAAACAGGTCGAGAGAGAATATTTGCAAAAAATGTATTAAATTTAAAATTTGTATCTTGCGGACTTCTTTAAGAAGATTCCAGCAACTCTTAATGATGATATAAGGATTCCAAAATCCTGCAAATCAGTAAAGCGGAATCTACGAGCGAGTAATAGGGTGTATTGTAAGAAGGTAATAAGGAAGAGTCTATATGAGCGGGAAAAACATGAAGAAAAAGTATCTAGCAGTAGACAAAACGGATGCAAGGATTCTGTGAAAACGTAAAAGCGACGAACTGGTTTTTACTGAGGAGTAAAATGAACGAAGCGAATGTTTCCAATAGAAAAAGAGTCATAGAACAATCTACGTGCTAAAATGACAAGGAAGATTCTACTGACGCTAACTAAATAGTGTAGAAAGTTTTATTAATAAGAGATAAAAATATGAATAATAATTTCACAAAGAAAGTCTTTACCATTCAATATAAGATAAAATAAAAAACTTACATGAGCGAAAAGAAATAACTCGAATCATAATTCAGAATATATCCACAAACTGGGACAACAGCAATGTCTCTACACAACTATATTCTTTCACGTTACAAATGAAGAAAAACCGTGTCCATTATAATAGTGCGAGAGTTTAGGCAAATTTCAGGAGTTATTGAGAAATGTAATGCTCGGTATATCTTAATTAAGATAAGATTCTAAGTACACACACGATATAATTTAATAAAGCGAAATAAATCTTTACGAAGGCAGACGTTCGAAGTTATAGCAAGGATTAATCGCAAAGGATACTCCGAGCAAACAGAATCCTGCAATCGGGAGGTTTCAGAAAAGGCAATCTCGTAAGCACACAGAGATGTTCCGAAAGAACGAAATGAGGCCGCGCGGATTCTATGAACGAAAAAGTGGAGCATTCGCGCGAATATCTCTTTATAGAGAGAAACACATATCTGTCGAGAAGGAAGGAAGGAAGGAAGGAAGGGCTCGTCCCTTCGTTCGGCCTTGCCGAGAGGGTGATGCACTTTGAGGGGTGCAAACTGAGGACCGATCATCGGGTGTCACGAGGTCACGCGAAAATAGGTCATCGAGAGACGTCCTCTCCGCGGAGAGAAGACTCCCACGACAGCGACGACTCTCTCTCGTTCGCGATACAAATAAGTAGGAATTCTCCTTTCCTCCCCTTTCTTCATCACAGAGGCGATTTGCAGGGTGGATGCTGTATGCGCGTGAGAAAGGAAGGAAACTGCCAGAAGGAAATGCGTACCTCTCTTGCCATTACGTCATAGCCCTGCAGGTAAGGAACCGTCCCAGCAGCAAACGCGCGGCTTTATTCCAAAAGAACTACCAGCAGACCGGAGAGGAAGAAGGTTGCTCCACGTCGCATTATATATCGGAGGATACTGCTCTCTGGTTGCGCTGCTGTCCGCCCAGCTTGCTCGCGCGTACTCTCGCAAGGTCTCTCTCCCTCTCTCTCTCTCTCTTGTCTTCACGCACCGTCTCTGTCCCTTTCTCCTACTTCTTTCTTCTTCCTATCGGGCGCGACACTTTACTTGACCGACCGTCTACCTGGTTGGACTCACTGGGGTCGGATAAACGGCGGACTGTAGCTACTGGTTGGCTAGCTGGTTGACTCGTATCACTGAGTGTAGAATCTTCCCTTCTTTATACGCGGCTGCCCTCGTCGTTCTTGTCGCACCCTCGCTCCGTTCTGATCGCTCACTCGCACGTAGTACGTAGATGAGAGAGAGAGAGAGAGAGAGAGAAAGAGAGAGAGAGAGAGAGAGAAAGAGAGAGAAAGAGCGAAGAATGCACAATACCTTCCGTTATATCTGGCAATTAAAGTACGGCCGCCCCCGGCCGGCCGCCCCTGTGCCACCAGGACAGACAGTGGAAGAGAGAGGGCGATTGAACGGCGAGGAGCGACGAGCAGGGGCTGCGGCGACGTACGTACGTCCGTCGACGTGGACGTACCTGGCCTGACGACCGTGCCGTGCGTACGTGCGATTAACACAGGCGTGTGTCTAAGATTTCACTGGCGCATACGATAGGGGCCCCCGTGAATTGTAACACTGGCTTCCTTCCAGCAATTACTGCGGCGACTCCTAGTTTTAGATCGATTCTCCTATGGTACGTACCGCCGTACGCCGCGAGGGGTCGGAAGGGCCGCTCTGCACGTACCTCTCCTGTCATCTGCCCTCTCACCTCGCCAACCCCGTCACCGCCTGAAATCCTAGGAAACCTCGCCCCGCGAACGCCACCGACTGCCGACCCTGCGACTACGTAGGAATGCCACCCCCGAGGATACGGTGAAGATCGCATTGGAAGATCTCGAGGGGTGAGATCTCTCTGAGGATAAACGCGATTCTAGACAACGATAAAGTCGACTGATACCTGTAGTTTAATGTAGAGATTAACTTTATTATTGATTAAACTTATTCTTCATCTGTTTCAAAAATTCTTAGAATTAAAAATAGATGAAGAATTAGTTGAACTAAGTTGAACGAAGATTACAATTAAAACTACATTGTTAGAAACGTATTGAAACCTGAATTCGGATAAAAGGAATTTTTCCTTCGGAATGAATAGGTATTTTCTTGACCAAGAGTTGAAATAGAAGATATCGAATAGAAGTACATAAACCTAGCGTGGTCAAACAATTAAATTTCACATAAGAGGGAAATGTTTAAGACTTACATCTCTTAAACCTTATCTCTATAATGCGTTCTTTACCTCCTGTTTCTTGTTTTTTACCTCATGCTTTTTCTCTTCTTAACAACCATTTTATCGACATCGCATCTTTTTACATTGTAGAAAAAATTTTAAAAAATTTTAAGAATTTTTTAAAATGTTATAAAATTATACAGAGAGAGAAAGAGAGAGAGAGAGAGAGAGAATTTTGAAAAATATTGAAATTTATATAGAAACCCTGAAAAATATATACACCCTATACAAAGTGAAAAATACTAAATACCCTATATAAAGAATTTAAAGAAAAATGTTTAACAGAGCTGATAAATATAATCTTTCGTTTAATATTGAGATCATATTATTTAAAAACTAAATTGAGTTTGATAATAATACGAAATGATATACATTTTAATCCATATACAAAGAATTTATTATAAAAAGATGTGTTAAACATATAGTTTGTTGATTGCAATTCACGCACTTATGCTGCTTATGCATATATGCATTTTTATGTTTCTGCGATACGTAATAAGAAAATCCATCACCCTTGTTTACGACACGTGCATTGCCATGGCGATGCGTTGGGTAACGCATAAATAAGTGCGTTTACAGTAACTGTACGTCAATGCACGTAAGTTTGTCGACCAGTTATAAGTACCACATTTATATATATTTTATAATCAAACGTAACACATCAAACAAATATGGCAGCGAAGAATTTACATGACAAAAAGTGCGATTTCAATCAAAATTTGATCGAACCGTCTCATTCGTTCAAACAGTTATGCAACACGATAAATGAATTGGAAAAAAATAGCCGTATTGAAATCGCAGAATGTAATCGAATGGATTTACTGGCTGTCGACGTAAAATATGATGGCAATCTAGACTCGGTAATGTACAAGTATTCGGAACAAGTGAGCAATAAAATTTAATTTTCTAAATTTAACAAACACCAACTAACAGTAACATAACTGTTGGTTATAATTTTTTACTCAACAATATAACTGTAGTTATATATAATAGTTATATTATTATCTAGTTTAATGTAGTGTGTTGGAAAGTTAATTTTTAAAAATAAAGTCTCTAATTTATTCAAGGATCATATTCGCTATTTAAAAAACGTAATAATTCTGCTCTATTATTAAAAATAAAATATAACTAAATGAGCGCAGATCGAACCGGAGAAAGACGTTACTACAAACAAATATGGGTCAATCGCAACAACTTACGAAGATATAATGTCCTTCCTGGGAACGCTAGATAATGGTACTGATGTTTATTAGATCAGCATTGTTAAAATTGTATTTAAAATTAAGAATTTTTTATTTGTAAAATAAGCTAAGCTTTACGTAATATCCTTATTGTAGAAGATACACTAAAGAACGACATCACTGCCAATAATGTAACGACTATAATCTCGTCCTGCGAAAATCCTAGGTAGAGATCTGACTTTTTCTAATATCTTATAAGTGAAATATATATGAATATATATCACGTTTTAAAAAGCGGACAAAAATTTTATAAGAACTGCTTTTTCCATAGGTACGATGTGCAGAATTTTGGTTCGATTCAACGGGATGATTTAGAGACTGCGAAATTACAAATCGAAGAAAGAAATGCGACGATAGAGTGTTTGAAAGAGCAACTAAAATCTGAGCGCAAGGCGGCGTGTGACAAAATGGCATCGCAAAAACGCCATCACATTATAAAGACAAAGGAGTTAGAAAATAAGTACAGAACGATCGTGAAACGCCATCAGAAGTTTATTGAACAGCTACTCACTGAGAAGACAGATCTTATGCAGAAATGTGACTCTTTAGCGCAACAAATTAAAGAGATGGAACAAAAGATCCAGCGAGATCTGAAAGTAATTACCGAGAGGCACGTCGTTGAATTGCAACGCGCGAAGGAACACGTAGTAGCATCCGAGAAAATTCGGCGCGAAAGATGGTTGGAGATGAAGACATCGAAAATCAAGGTCTTCGTTAATTCACAATTATTATTAGCAAATATAATTCAAGAATTCGCTTTTGATTTTGAAATTACAAATGCAATTTTTTCATTTTTCTTTAAATGCAAAATAATCGATAGATAATGAAAATGCAAATAAAATTTTGTGCAATGTAATGAAATATGGCGACAAATAATTAAAATTTACGCGTTGATTATCGATATCGCAGGAAATGACAGTAAAAGGGCTGGAACCAGAATTGCACAATATGATGGAGCAACATCAACAAGAGATACAAGAGTTGAGACGCGTACATATAAAGGAGTTACAAGACACGGAATTGCGCGCGATGCGTAGGTCGAATCAACAGCTGGAACAGTTGCGAATTGAGTTGACGGACAACCACGAGAAAATGTTGGCTAAAGAGAAGGACATATTGGCCGCAAGGTATTGGAATTCTGCCATTATTGATTTTAATATAATTTTAGTTAAGTCTGCATAAATGGTAACTGACTTATATAGGTACAAAGAAAATCTGGAAGAGCAAGAGGTGCATTTTCAGATACAACAGAAAACATTTGCGGAGCGTTTTGAAGGAGAGAAATCGATGCTTATTGCAGAGCAAAAGAAACGTGACCGAGAAACAAGTGTGATGATAAAACAAATGGAATTACATTTTCAAGTCCGTTTTACAATAAAATTATTCTATTATTGATAAAAAAAAACCTAATTATTTAACAGTGTGATTTATACAAACACTGAACTTTTCTTTGCAGAAAGAAACGGAAAAAGTAAAAGAGCAACACAATATTGCTAAGAGGAATTTCGAGGAATCCTTAAGAAAAGAATGGTTCACGTGGACAGATAATTATAAAAAAGAACAAAGCGCGACTTTCACAAGAGCGGAGACTGCAATTCGTAACGATTGTCAAAAAGAAAGAGACAAACAAATAGAGATCGTTATAGTTAGATTGGAAAAAGAATCTCGTGAAATGCGAGCTAAGTTGCAGCAAAGTTTCGATAATCAAATGGAGTAAGTTCGCATATCTTTTCTCTAAATATAGAAATACAAAGAAAATTGTCACAATTCAATTATTAAAATTGTTTCTAGGCTAATAAATGAAGACTATGACGCAAAATTGCAAGCTGCAATTAAAAGCGAAGATATTTATAAAAATAAGTTATTATTATTGGAAGAGAGACTTAAATGTACAGAAATCCAATTTGAAAAAACAGAAAATAAATTAAAAGAATGCATATCGAATCTCAATAATATGAATAAAGTAAATCTTATGAAAATAACTAATTAGTTCGGTATAATTATTATCGTTAAATTTATGATTTGTTAATTTGTAGATAATTATAAAGTTGACTACAGAGAGAGACGATGCAAAAGAGATAGCGAAACAGGAAATTGAGACAGAGAAAAAAGAGTTAAAAGACAAAATCACATCGCTTTATCGAGAAATAAGACAGAATAATGTTAACAGCGATCAACTTATGGCACAATTACACAGCAGGTAAAAATCAATATCTATAATAAGTGCAATAATAAGAAATTAATACATAAATCGATACTATAAATTAATACATTAATCCGCAAAAACACCAATCACTGTAACGTTACGTAGTAGCAAGTTTTTTGTGGACGAGTATGTCATAACGTATTATTATATTGTAAATTCTATGACTAAAACGTTTGGTTTTAGGATAAAATTTGTAATTACTCAAAAGATTTTAATTATAAAGAATCTCAATAAAAAACTGGATAACGCTAATTCAAGATGCGAACATTTGGAAAAATTGCTGGATCAACAAAGAAAGGAATATATTTTGAAGACTGTGTAAATAATTTAATTTAGAAGATTGTGCATATATATGTATATATAATATGTGTATAATGTATGTGTATACATGCTATTTCCCAGCAAACAAACTGATGTTATCTTTTATCTAATAATTGTACTGAAAAATCTATAAATAAACCACTTCGACGCGGTGATTCAAAGGCTTAAGATGCTCGCACGGAATATTAGAGATCCGGATTTGACTCCCGACCGAGGTAATATTTTTCGCCATAAATTTACTTATAGATTTTTTAATACATTAAGATCTTAAAATGACGCTAATTGAGCAACAAATTATTGAATTGTTCGTCAATTTAATTTGTGATATTATTATTATTATAGATAGTTCAGTTACGTTTTTAAATCCAAAAAATCAATTCGGCGTGTAATTCGAAAGATTATAAATGTAGTATGTAAATTTATTTAAAGCACTCACAAGGCATTATTTCTTAGATATTATATATAGTTAATATTATAGATGTCTCATTTGATGTCAAAATGGTGTCAAATAACGCTAATTCGTTTGCTGGGTTGTAAGAGTATTAATTTTTACTACGGAAATATATCTTTTTTTTATTTTTAAAATGTGAATCATTTCCTATAAATTACTTGTGTGTACGAAATATAACATTGTACAAAATAAATTATATTGCTATTGATAATATTTATAATCATAAATATAATATCATATATATATGTATATATAAAACATGATTCATTTTTAAATTCTATATATATGCATGTATATACAAGTGTACATATTTTTTGTGCACACACGCACGTAGTATACTACATTACATGCGAAGTTAATACCTCAAAGTAAGACAAAAATAAATAAAAAAGAGTCGAATAACAAATATTACATATGTAGTCTCCAGTTTGGAGGATAAGAGGAAGAGAGAGGGAGGAAAAGGAAAAAGAAACACTACATGCGCGCACATACACACGACTTGGCTTGGAATTAGACTATGAAGATTGAGATTGAAATTTAACCAATGAGAACAAAAGAATTTTAGCTCCTATTCTTTTTATTGGTCAAATTTCAATCTTTGAATCTTCAATGTGTAATCTAATTCTGGCCTTATAAATGCGATAGAGTAATCTCCACGCGGTACAATTTAGGTAATGCTACCAGCAATATTATACTTTCAAGTTTCCATTCGAAAAGTAATAATTAAAAAGTTTCACTATAGTGTTTTAAAAAACTCTCGAGATAAGATATAAGAATATGAAATAAACAATTGAGGTTCTATTAAAAATTTGCAAAGTGATTTTTACGTAAGTGATGTATTTCGATAATGGTATCCAAAGTAAATCTTTTAAAAACTTTTGCATGAAATATATTTTTTAGAATTTTTCTTATTTTTAAAGATATTTAAAAGAGACTTTGTATACATCTTGTACACATGTGCACGCACACGCACACACGCACGCACACATACACACACGC